ATGGGGAGTGGTTTAGCCCATGGAAGAACAAGGCACCTCTTTTAAAAAAAAAATACTTTAACTCTATAGGTATTTAAATATATTTTTTAGGCCAGGTGTGGTGGCTCACACCTGTCTTTCCAGCACTTTGGGAGGCTGAGGCAGAAGAATCTCTTAATCAGTCTACTCTGCCTGTGACTGATCATATCTCAGTCTACTGTGAATCAGTAGAGACAGTGTCTGCCTGTGACTGATCATATCTCAGTCCTGAACCGTGTGTCCTCTCTGACCCATTACTTGGGTGGATACATAGGGAAAGGCCATCCTCAACTCTTCCTGGCTTAGGTAGACTTCAAATGCCTTGAAGAAGGCCAATGCCTTTCAATTGACAACGATTCACATAACATGTAGGACTGCACTGTGACCCACATTCCAAGAAGAAATAAGGCCATTAAAATTGACACTCAAAGACCCACACACATTCACACAAGCAGGATTTGTTGGTCAATAGAACATAAAGGAATCAGCCGGGTGCAGTGGCTCATGCCTGTAATCTCAGCACTGAGGAGGGAGGATCACTTGAGCTCGGGAGGTCAGGTGAGACCTTGCCTCTACAAAGAATTAACATAAACAACAAAACATTAGCTGGGCATTGCTGTGTGTCTGTAATCCCAGCAATTTAGGAGGCCAAGATGGGAGGATTTCCTGAGCCCAGGAGGTCGAGACCAGAATGGGCAACATAGCAAGACCCCGTCTCTACAGAAAATCAAAAAAATTAGCTGGGTGTGGTGTGCATGCCTGTAGTCCCAGCTACTCAGGAGGCTGAGGAGGGAGGATCACCTGAGCCCAGGAGGTTGAGGCTGCAGTGAGCCTTGATCATGCCACTAACCTCCAGTCTGAGTGACAGAGTGAGATCCCAATTCAAAAGAGGAAAACCAAACCAAAACAAAACAAAAAAACGGTATCCTGATATTCTGCAATTTTTCTCGGAGACTTCCACAGTTGTTAATGATGTGGCTTCAGGGACCACCACGTGCAGACAGGGAGGGCCAGGGTCCATCATTACCTCACTGAGCTATTACCGTAGCAGCACAAATCCCCCACGCCAAGGTCGTCTGCCATCAGCAGCACAATATTGGGTCTGGAGTTCCTTGTCACGAATGTCATATTAATGTCCCCAAACAAGCAGTACAACAAGCATAGCCAGCACTTCCTAAACGTATTTTTGGGAACACAAAACAGAAAAACAAGACACTATCAATTAACATCTGCATTTTAGACAACTTAAAATATTAAATAATGGACTGACACAGTGGCTTAAGCCGGTCATCCCAGCACTTTGATAGGCTGAAACGGGAGGGTTGCTTGAGCCCAAGAGTTTGAGACCAGTGTGGGCAACAGAACTAGATCCTGTCTCTACAATAAATCAAAAATTAGCCAGGCATGGTGGCATGTGCCTATAGATCCAGTTCTTGGGAGGCTGAGGTGGGAGGATCATCTGAGCTCAGGAAATTAAGGCTGCGGTGCGTGAGCCATAATTGTGCTGCCACACTCCAGCCTGGGCAACTTGGTAAGACCTCACCTCTACAATAAATAAAAAAATTAGCAGACCTAGTGGTGCCTATTGTCCCAACTACTTGGGAGGTTGATGCAAGAGGATCACCAGAGCCCAGGAGATTGAGTCTGTGGTGAGCCATGATTGTGCCACTGCACTCCAGCCTGGGCAACAGAGTGAGACCCTAACTCAAAACAAAAAACTAAACAATGATATTTCTTTTTTCTTTTTTCTTTTTTTGAGTTGGAGTCTCACTCTGTCGCCCAGACTGGAGTGCAGTGGCTGCTTCCGGCCACCGCAGCCTCGACCTGCTGGGCTCCGGTGATCCTTCCTCCTCAGCCTTCCGAGTAGCCGGAATTACAGGCATGCGCTACCATGCCCGGCTGATTTTTTGATTTATTGTAGAGATGAGGTCTCGCTGCCCAGGCGGGTCTCGAACCCGCAGGCTCAGGCAATTCATTCATCTCAGCCTCCCAAAGGTGTGGGATTACAGGCTGAGCCACCGAGCCCGGCTAACAATGATATTTCTTATCAATTCTTACTGTTTGATGTACCTGCATTGGTTTACTTAGATACTAGATTTTTTTTTTTTTTTACACAACATAATGTTCTACAGGAATGAAGTTTTGCATTTTATCAATTAATATTTTCAAGACATTTAAGTCTTGTAAAAATTAAAAATACACTGTACTCCAACCTGGGCAACATAGCAAGATCCAAACTAAAAAAAAAAAAAAAATATAGTAGAAATGTTAATATGTATAACAAATGTATGTGAATTTTTCTTTCTTTTAAAATAAAGACAATCTCAGACTTTTAAAAAAATCCATCTTAGGTTTTTCCTAAAGGACACACCTAAAACCTAAGGACAAAAAATAATAAAATAAAATTTGAAACTAAAAAGATGTAAAACATTGATACCAGCCAAATTATAATCAAAAGAAACTTGTGGTAACAATATTGACATCATCCAGAAGAAAAAATTTTCAGCCTACTTATGTAGCAAATCCTCACTTGTACCCCACAACTCTATAATCAATAAATACATAAGTAAATAATAAAATAAAGTAAATAAAAGGTGTCAGGCACACTTTAAAAAAAGAAAATAGTAAAATAAAAAGTGTTTTAAAAAGAACAAAAAAGAATAATAATATAAAATGAAAGCTGTCAGTCACACTTTTAAAAAAAGAAAATAAAATAAAAATTTTAAAAAGCTGTCAAGCACACCTTAAAAAAAAGAAGAAAAAAGCAATAAAATAAAATGAAAGTTGTCAGGCACATTAAAAAAAAAAAAAAGAAATAGAAGCTGTCAAGCACACTTTAAAAAAAGAGTAATAAAATAAAACAATAAAAGCTGTCGAACACACTCTTAAAAAAAGAAAATTTCAAGTGCCAATCATTGACCCAGGATGGCAGGGCTACTACGTGATAATGACAACACCCATCCACAAAGGTGATTTGAACGTCATAAAATTTGCACACGATGAGTGATGCTCTGAAAGTGTAGAAAACAAACCTTGAGTGAAATGTCAAGGGTGATGGGTGACCCATATTCACAGGAACGATTCTAGCACATGTGCTTCTCAGAGACCCCCCCCAAACCAATCAGATTAGAGAAAATGTTGGCAAGGATGATTCTCTCCAGACATGGAGATTCATGAGCGTTTTTATGCCTGGGCTACTCACCAGTCACACAGCCTCTGTTTCATGTCTTCTTCCCAGGTTACCTAAGGGAAAAAAAAGTCTAGGAACATCTACAAGCAACATTTTTAAAACTTATAACTAGACAGATAATGATTCAAAGTGTTAGCAAGACTATTTTGTTCTGACCCAGTAATTTTTTTTTTTGAGTTGCGGTCTCACTCTGTTGCCCAGGCTAGAATGCAGTGGCATGATCACAGCACACCACAGCCTTGGTCTCCTGGGCTCAGGTGATTCTCCCACCTCAGTCTCCAAATTAGCTGGGACGATAGGCGTGCACTACCATGCTTGGCTAATTTTTATTTTATTTTATTATTTTTTTGGAAACATGAGATCTAGCTATGTTGCCCAGGCTGGTCTCAAACCCCTGGACTCAAGCGATCTTCCCACCTCAGTCTCCCAAGTAGCTGGGACTACTGGCATGTGCCATCACACTTGGTTAGTTTGGTTCTGTTTTTGTTTTTATTATTATTATTATTATCTGTAGAGACAAGGTCTGGCTATGTTGCCCAGACTGGCCTTGAACTTCTGGGCTCAAGCAATCCTCCCACCTTAACCTGCCAAGTAGCTGGGACTGCAGGCATGTACCACCACACTTGACTAATTTTGCTTTGTTTTTATTGTTATTGTTATTATTGTTATTATCATTATTACTATTATTATGGAAACAAGTTCTAGCTATGTTGCTCAGGCTATTCTTGAACTCCTGGGCTCAAGTGATCCTCCAGTCTTGGCCTCCCAGAGTGCTGGAATTACAGGTGAGAGCCAGTAGCCACTGCACCTACTGCACCCACTGCAGCTGAGGATAGGGTTTTTTGTTTTTTGATGAGTTGGGGTCTCATTCTGTTGCCTAGACTGGAATGCAGTGGCACAATCATGTCTCACCACAGCCTCAAACTTCCTGGGCTCAGGAGATCTTCCTTTTCAGCCTCTAGAGTAGCTGAGATTATAGGCATGTACCACCACACTTGGCCAATTTTTTGTGTTATTATCATCATCATCATAATAATCATCATTGTGGAAACAAGGTCTAAATATGTTGCCCAGGCTGGTCGCAAATTTTTGGACTCAAGCAATCCTCCTGCCTCAGCTTCCATAAATGCTGAGATTACAAGTGTGAGCCACTGTGCCTGGCCAAATTCCTTCTATCTAATTGCAAACAAGTGGTATTTTCTCAGACAGATTCAGGCAAAATCATACTCATGGTTTACCCAGCTCAGGTTAATTCTAATGGCAGAGTTCCAAGAAATCATGTTCATTTCTCAGCAGAAAACTTCCATTCCAGAGATTTCCATAAAATAAATTAAGTAATCAATGAATGAATATTCAACCACCATTGGTATCAGGTCTACTTTGTATGTGTTCTCTACCATAAAGTACATTTATTTTTTTTAATACGTAGTGGGTCAACCTTGGCGTCTACCTTCAGATGTCAGTCAATGAACAACATGCATGTCTTGGTGGCCAAACTCATTCGCTGTAAGGACATGTTGAACAGCCATAATTATGATCTTTTTGTAAGAGTCCCAAGATGAGTATCATCTGGTACAAGGACCCTCAAATGACTCCAGGTCAGCGGGGTTTTATGGGCCAAAGAGCTTCCCCACAAGACCCAGGATGTATAATAACGATGAACAGCACTGCCATATTGTTTACAGACATTTATAAAATCCCACACATTGTCACACACTTGTCCCCATTTAATCTTCCAAATATCTCACCCTGTTGACCTCCAAGGTCAATGATGACTCTCCTGATTTCTGGGAGAGGGGATTGGGGATCGTGACCTTTAAAAGACTTTGCCAAGGTTGGTAAATTGAAAACTAAGAACATGAGACCAGCCTAGCGAGATCCCATTTCTATAAAACAAATTTTTAAAAAAATCAGTTGAGTGTGGTGGCACACCTGTAGTCTCAACTACATGGGAGGCCAAGACAGGAAGATTGCTTGAGTCCAGGAGTTTGAGACTGCCTGGGCAACATAGTAAGACTTAGTCTCTATATAAAAAATTAATTTAAAAAATTGCACTCAGCCGGGCTTGGTGGCTCAGCCTGTAATCCCAGCACTTTGGGAGGCTGAGGTGAGTGGACTGCCTGAGCCTGCGGGTTCGAGACCTGCCTGGGCAACTTGGAGAGACTTCATCTCTACAATAGATCAAAAATTAGCCAGGCATGGTAGCTCACGCCTGTAGTTCCAGCTACTTGGAAGGCTGAGGCGGAAGGATCGCCAGAGCCCAGCAGGTTGTGGCTGCAGTGGCCAGGAGCGGCCACTGCACTCTAGTCTGGGTGACAGAGTAAGACTCCAACTCAAAAAAAAAAAAATTACATCTGTCAACATGGAGCATCTGACTCTCGGTTGATTATGTGTTAGACAATTCCCAAGGTTATTTTCATCTTTGTTCCTCCAATGATCACAGGAAGTCCCCAACCTACAAACACGTTCCATTCTGAGAGCACATTCATACGTCCAATGTGTTCATTAAGTCCCACAAAGTCAGACTTGGTCTCCAACTCAAACCATCGGCTATATGGTACAATGTTGTAATAGGTTTATCATACTTTTCACACAAATAATACATAAAAAACAAACAAAAAATAAAGAAAACATTTTTAATCTTATGGTACAGCACGGATCCGTGGATGCCAAGCACATAAACTCACTTAGTGATTGAACATGTGAATGCACTTGCATGTCTATGAAAGTTCACAACTTGAAAGTTTGCAACTTGAAAGCTCACAACTTGAAAGTTTATATGTGGGGGACTTGGTGTACTCTCAAATCACTATGGATGATTGGACAATGTTCTCTCTAATTTCCAAGGAATAAAGGTTATTTTTAATTCATTTGCTTATTTTTACTTTTTGACGCAGAGTCTCACTCTGTTGCCCAGGCTGGAGTGCAGTGGCACACT